TCGGTCCGTTCATCAAGATAGAAAGCGAAATGCCAGCTAAGTCAAAAAAAGTTTACAATTTTATTCATCATAGTTTTCAAGAGTTTTTCTGCCTAATAGACAATTCACAAGCCTCGTTTGTTGGAAGGTTTTCGACAGTTTGCAGTGTGAGTTTCGGTGGAAACAAATGAAGCTTCATTTGAATCTGATAGAAACAATTCCAATTTTCTTAGAGGCGCAAGAATGATCTTATTCTCCTCTCATCTCCTTTCTCTTGTTGATTTTTGTTAACAGGGTGGATATTTTGTATTTAAATAATTGATTAAACTTTGTGTTTGTGTCATGTTGGTATGTTGTAAAATAGTGGCGTTGGTATTGTTGAATTCTGTATTTGCTCTGGCATAGTCTGTCGTAGCCACATTGTAATTGAGATTACTTATTGAGATGTCCACCCCATTTACTAGCCATGTTTTTCCCTGATCAGATGTTTGTACCCCAGTGTAGGAAAGAAACATTCCGTCCCCTTTGATGGAAATACCAGTGCTCAGTACGCGGGCGAGTAATTGGCCAGGAACAGAGAGGGCCAAGATATAATCCGCGAAGGGTAACGTGCGTAAAATATCGTATTGATCAATTGTGTTTCGGAGAACATCGTCAACACGTATCGCCCCACTATTGAAGACTCCAATAGTTGTTCCACTCAGTGCAGTTGCTTCTATCATACTTTCACAGATCAAATCAGTCAATACTGTGTTGGCACTCCTCACGGATTCGGATCTCCCGTCTAACTCGACTCCCGCCGGTAGACATGACACAATTTTATTCGGCTGAAAACCGATTGCCTCGAATCCTTGGATACCTAAATTGAACCAGTAATTGGCTACCATCGCTGTTTTTTCTTCATCTTGTACGTCCGGAGTCACTTGTGCCAGAGTACTATAAATGCGAAGTCGTTTTGTATCCAAATTGTAAGCACAACGATGGATGTATACAGTGAACGCGTTTGCATCGGCTTTATAGATGGGTGTGTATTCGGTACCTCTCAAATAATAATAATCTTCATGTTCATGTCCACCAAGGATCAGATCAATTTGTGGGATCTTTTCCACAAGCTGAATGTCTGTCGCAATATCTAAATGGGTCAATCCAACAAGAACATCGTATGTTCCATTTGGGAATGCAGTGAGAAATTGCTGAGTATAGGTGACGAGAGACGACTGATTGATAATTCGAACGTAGGGGTCATTTGTATCGATTGTCAAGCCGATGATGAGAATATGAACCCCCTCAATCGTTATCAATTTATAAGGTATACTTGATGCAAATGGTTGATCGCCTTCCTCACGAAATACATTCGAACTTATCCAAGTAAATTTTGATTCATTCATTCGTGCAGTCAGTTCCGTTTGGTTCAAATCGAATTCATGATTTCCAAATGTCATGAAATCAAGCCCCAATGTGTTCATTATTGCGATCATTTGTCGCCCGTTCAACGCTGTTCCGTTCACGATCGACTGACTCAAGGCTGAGGGTGAAACAAGATCTCCAGCAAGGAACGTATAAGTCTTAGAATTTTCTTTTAGTAATAATTGTCGTATACGCCCCACACGAGCTAAACCGCCTTTTCTGCCCATATCCAGCGGTAACATTTCGTAAACATCATTGAGATGTAGAAATGTCCACTGAACATATCGGCCGTCGTTGGGCAAACGAATAGGAAAGCCAATTGTTCCCTTTTCAACTGCATACACCGCGGACGAAGGAGTCGAAGAAGTATTGCAGCCACCTCCCCATAGAGCACCAAACACAATCGTAAGTATAGTCAGACAGGTAATCGTTACACCTAACAAGGCATATATGAGACCATGTGATTTACAAAATGATCGCCACCAGTCGACGCTTAGAATCGCCATCGATAAAAAATCTAAAACGAAGATGTGAGAGTAAATCGAAATTGTTCGAGTATCTTATTGCTCCGCAATTCGCTTTATTTAAAGTTCAGAGAGGGTCCATAACCATACTTTTAAAATTCGGACATACTCAGGAGTAGAAACCAATAAATCCAAAATTTAGCCTTTCCATTGGGTCAAGACCAGCTACACATAGTGATCCCATCGCATCCACGGCCCTAGGTATGCGAAGGCTGTTGATTTAACAGCTACAGTGAGTGCTAAAAGAAAATACAAGGTTTTTCTTAAATATTTATTGGATGCAAAGAATTTCCAGAAAAGTATGATCTATGGCAGCACTTTTCCGACGCTCGGGTTTAAAAATCAATATCATTCTTTTGGAAAGCAAAAAGTCGAAAAAACGAGTAATTAAAACTGTTAATTTTTGAAAAAATAAAGCAAAATAATATCCTAAATGAATCTAATTCCTAAAAGAAAATAAATCTTTTTCTACGAATTATTGAAATTCAAAAAAACAAACTCACAAATTTTTGGAACTCAACAAAATTTGGGGAAATTTTTCGGAAAACACAGATTTTGTTTAGCAAAGAACTCTCTTGCAGTAATAAACTAAAAACAATCTTAAGTTAGATTAATATTAAGAAAAATGTACCCAAATTAATTTTCGAAAAATGTTTTGAGTCAGAAACAGTAAAATCTGATTGAAAGAGTCGATGAATAATAAGTACGCAACTTTGTGTGTGTGCGTCGCTTTTGACCAAATATGTTATCACACGTAGTAGGTACCCGGCGTGTACCATCATGGTTTTTGAAGAAGCCAACTGCTTTGAGTAAATCGACAATGGGACAAACAATCGCGAAGAGTAATCAATAATTAAGGTCCATTAAGACTGAAACTTACCAAGTTTTCTACTGCTAAGCAGTATGTTTTGAGAATTTTTTATTTTGGTTGTTCGTCGACGTCGTGTGACAGTGCGCGCAGTTTAAGAGCACGGTAGAAAGTTATCACATGTTTCTTTTGACCGTGTTTTGGCGAGCGACACGACCGAGAAAGAATACAAACATGTCTTGTTCGAAATGAATATAAACGCCTTCATCTTTTCGAAAAGATATGTTTTAATATTTAAATGAGTTGGCTGGTGAATTTCATCTGGAAATGCTTTCGCAGGTAACTATCATTTGTAATTATAGATACAATCGCAGGTAACTATCATTTGTAATTATAGATACAATCGCAGGTAATTATTGTTTGCTTTTCTTAGTGTTTATGTCAGCTAAGCAGACAGAGAGTGACAGAACAATACTATATTCGCATCGAGGTTTTAGCGCATATCACGATCGCAACGAATAATTGTGCTGTTTACTACTTTGTGAACACCTAAAACCGAGAGACAACAAGTAAAAAATGACCAGTGACACATTTTACCCTTACCTTGGCCAAATTTCGATCGTAGCACTATGTTAAGAAGAACTTCTGATTTTTGCGATTGCTCACAATTATTTCTTTCACTCTCGACTCTGCATTCTTCTTTTCTTCGCAATCGTCCTTCTATCATTTCAGGATTATGATTTTCTCTTTCTTGCTACACTTATACTCGAGCACGAGAATAAGAGAACACATCTGTATAAACAGAAGAGAAAGCATCATTGATGCATGTCTGCCGGCAGTAACGGACCAGAATATGCAAAAGGAAAGAAAAATAATACATGCATAAACTTGCATCACTGATAATTTTTTACTTGTTGTCTCTCGGTTTTCGGTGTTCATAAAGTAGTAAACGGCACAATTATTCGTTGTGGTCATGAAATGCGGCAAAAACCTCGATGCGAATATAGAAACCTACCGTGTAGTCCATCATGTCACGTGATTTGATGTGTAGACTCGGTCTAATGCTAACTAGCTGGTGATGGTTGATTTTCAGTTCTTTGCGCTGTTTCTGCAGCATATCCTTTCAATTGTTTAGTAAATCCATCATTTAGTCTAATATCGGAACTTGCTTGTTCAATAGCATATACATCTTCATATTTCATACGATGTATTTCAAGTTTTCTACTGTTTAGCGGTACGTTTGGCAGTACGTAACCTAAAAGCTTTTTCTGTGAGGGGTGGCCCTTAAGTGTTTCGTACGATTTCAAGTTGTTGACAAAAACTCATAAAGGGCAGATAGAGAATTTTCTGCGCTGCAGAATGAGCTGTAAATATTCTTTTCAAAAATATGCCCATATAGAACGTACCATCATGTTTTTTGAAGAAGCCAACTGCTTTGAGAAAATCGACAATGGGACACACAATCGCGAAGAGTACTTATAAAGGTCAATTAAGAATGAAACTTACCAAGTTTTCTACTGTTAAGCGGTATGTTTTGAGGATGCCCTGCCATGCCAAATATGCCGGAGTTTATTTAATCAATGTGAACATCTCGAACAGTAAAATTGTTCTTGCTGCTGCTACGATTACACTCTATCAAAATGGACTCATCTTTACATCACCTAACAATGAAGATTATACTGGTAATGCAATTAGTGTGTGGAACTGTGATCAAGCTGGAACAATTACCTACAGTTTTGTTTCTTTTCGAAATCCATTACCAACAGTTAATCTCATACGCATTAGAACAACAAATATTCAACTAAAATGTGATGGAACAGC